AAACGACACGTGAAGTTACGCACTGCTCACCTAAACGACACGTGAAGCTACGCACTGCTCACCTAAACGACACGTGAAGTTACCCGCTACTCACCTAAACGACACGTGAAGTTACGCGCGGCTTACCTAAACGGCTTGGGTCCCATCGAGTAACCGCCGACTGATAATATCACCTTCAGGCTGGGATTGAACCGCTTCAGTCGGATTACGGAGGAATAACCGCGACCTGCAAACATCATCAAACCTAGTCGCATTGCGTCATCACGCGTGGCAGCGTTAACATATTCGTGGCAGGTGGACTCGAATCTTTCGTCAATTTTTAATTTCCATCCAAATAAATGAATAATGTAAATAAATCATGTATGTGTAATGTATTTTTGTTTCTATGAAAAATTAATCATTGAATTGACTAATTATTTAATAAACAGCAGAAAAGACGCACGCAGTACAGTGCTCCCCTGCTTCATCTGGGACCGTGAAGATGTCCAGATTACGCTATGGACCTGTTTAAGCGGTGAGCACGTAATAAAATGCGTATAAGGATTGTGTTTGAAAGACATGCATGTATGTCGGTGGGTTGATCTACGTGTTTGATATAGCAATCGCGTATAACCTATGCCAAGAACCTCCCACTAGGCCCTTAGTTAGGACTGCGTATAGGTTTTCGTATCTACAAATACGGCTAATTCTATCCGAATTGCATGTTTGGTTTACGCGTGTTTACAATAACGCACGATCGAGGTCCTTGCAGTTGTACATTTCTTGTTTCAGTTTACGCCGCTGTCTTCTGCATGGAATCGCATGAGCAGCGGCAGCACCAGCAGACTATTAGAAGCACCATCACTGCATGTGCTGGCAGCGCGGTGCACCGTCTCCAAATAATGTCGGGAAATACGTCAGATAGGCAAATGGTCGACTTGAACAAACACGCGTCATATAATTATTCAATTATCACCGGGCTGACAGCGACCTTCCGCCCCGAGCCTCGGCTCGAGCCTTATATTTGTTCATGTACTTGACCTGACAAACACGCGCCACTGCACACAAGAATGTTGTCGAATTTGATTTCGTAAAATAAACTGTCAAATATAGGTCTACGTCCTCAGCGAATGCACCGATCAAAGCACGTACCAAATATCGCGAGCCTCCTGTTACGGGGGCGACGGACTATGGGGCGTCTATAGCTTGCATAGCGATCGCTGTGCGTGTCATACTAAGCAATGTTGCGACCTGGAAAACTACATCGCATGATAGTATCTTATATACGGGTATGATGTAGTTTCTGTTACAATACTGTTTGGTTTGCTTCCGGGGAGGCATGGCGTTGCATTATCTCAGCTAGTTCTATAGATATTGCAACAACAGTTACGGTTTACGCCTAGCATTCACCGGCCTACGCCCACGCGGAGGCGTGTAAATTTACCGCTGTATGCATCACACCAAGTGCACATAAACTATAGAGCGAACAACGATAAGAACCGCAAGTCACGTCTTAGTTTTGAACACCTGAATGACGTTATGTTACTCACGCAGTATGAACACTGCACTTCCTTATTAATAATAACCAGATTTTCTTGAGATGTGATGAGACCGACGTACCGCTTGCCTCTGCCTGAGCTCCTGAGCCGAGCTAGTAGTGCGCACAAATTTACAAATACATTTCTGAGTGATTGTCTCAGGCATTTCTACACTTGCGCTATTGCTAAATTATCTCGCCACAGTTTCTTGTGCTCTTGGCCCATATACCTGTTACCGTGTCGCCGCCATAGTCATTCCACTCGACCGCATCTATGATGTACTTCTCGCCCGTCAGATCTTCAACCCGGTTCAACTTGGCCACCATGTACATGACGTGTGTGCAGAGATCGGGATCGATGTCCGCCGGCGTGAAATGTCCATCTCCCTCCCTGCATGCCGGCGTGCAATGGCGAAATCGTGAGAATTAAACACGCGCGCGCGCGCGATCGACCCACAGACACTTGGAACACGCTAAGTAATGAACATGTGTGGTCGTAAATTTCTGAGCATTTGCCTGGTTAGGATTTGTGCTATCGTAGCAATGTCAACATCAAAAGTCATGTCAACGTTAGTTTTCTTAGGTCTATTAATATTATAGTAAATAATACAACGATTCCCTATTATCCACCTATTAATTACTCGGGATAATATTAATCTATATTAGCGTGCAGCGCGTTCGCAGAGATGAGCGGTGGGAGCAGCTGGTATTGTATAGGCGCATGAGCTTTTTTTATTATATAGAGCGCAATTAAACTGACATGAATGACATTTGATACGGGCCAGCACAAAGCCTAATATTATAAGGTTGGTGTTTGGAAATTTCTGTCTTAAGTGTATGATGATCGACTTGCCTCTCGGACTTCTCGGCGAAATAGACAGGAGCAGTAAGTATATATTATCGTTGGTTATGTTCGTATGTAGTGGTTGGGAAATTACATCTGTAAACACTTAATTCTTGCGTTGTCGATATGTGTTTGTGTTAATAAAACAGTTGTTTTTGAGCTTGTAACCATTCTTACGCTGTATTCCAGTAATAAAGTAACCACGCTAAAAGCCTAAGATGACAGAAATTTTCCGTACCTGTACTGGGACCAATTTGTATAGTAGCAAACGAGCATTCTAGAGTTGACTGTCCCTGACAGCCATACCAGTATCGCCATCAGCGTCCAGGTTATCCGGCGATGCATGACACAATGCGCTGACTCTATATAAACGGATGAAAAATTTCTCATTTAGCAGTATTATTGTAATGCGAAGTGGTTGATGATCTCCGTGTAGGTTTCTGTAGCGTCTACAGCGTAGACTTGTAGCAACCGTAGATTGTAGCAGCGTAGCAGATTGTAGCAAATAGAGTAGATATGACGTAGTTGCTAATTCGTTGTTGAACTAGGACTTTATTAGTACACGAACACGACAAAATATACAGCAACCTAGGTGGGTGACCGTGCCTAGTACCTGTCATCTCCGTTTTTGCCTATCTCTCTACATCGTCGTATGGGTAACGACTCGTTGACTCCGTAACTCGAAAACTAGCTCTCCGTCTCTCCGAGCGTCTATTTATACGCTTCTTAAAACAACCGGGACGCAATACAATCGGAACCAGTTTCTCAGTCGTTGCTTTACCAAAACAACAATAACTATAGCCCGCAGCCCTACAATACAACAGTATGACACGAGAGATCCCAGGGACAATAATTAAGAGAGTGCCCCGTGTTCATTTCCTCAATTAATGCTCATCGTGATTAATAGCTGAGAAACTAAATTACTCCGCGCTCGACTGTGTGTGTTTACGGTTCATGCCGATAGTTTCATCATTACTGCACACAGCTAAAAAGCTTTCTTACTTAGAAAATAGATCTGAAATCAAGAAAATTATCTTGTTTTTGGAAAATTTATCTAGTTTGTGTAAGATTGCAACTTTTCGAAAAAATTTCAAAAATCTCCACAAGATTTTTAAGATTATATATCTAGGTTTTGTTTCTAGTTTCAAGAATACTAATCTTATTTCTGTGTTAAGGTTAAATTCTTATATATAGGCGCATGTTGATAATTTTATTCTAAAAAATTTCGTGATAACCATAAAAATAATATAGATAACCTAATATGGTTATCTATATTATTAATATCGTGATAACCCTCAATTTATTGTATAGTTTCACTTGTGGTGTGAAAAGTATTGAGTAACGTTGCGCAACGTAAATGTCTATAGACACCTATATGCCAGAAGACGCTCAAGCAATGTATATATATTGCATGGTTAACCGTGCATATATAAAGACATTCAAATTATTATTAAATCTCAATTAATTTAAAGCAATAAATAAATAAATGAGTATGAAAGAAAATCATAAGATCTTTGGTTCTCAGTGAGCGGTACTATCGCACATGGCGACGATCGATGTATCGAAAAGTAAGAAACGGCATAGTTTACACGTATTTTTATTCCATAATACATGCTAACCTCGTGAAATTTCTTCGGTTGTTTGCATTTAATTTCTTATGATGTATAATATATTATTGCTAAAATAAATAAAATACTATTTATAACTAGTAGCATAGAAGTGCAGCCGGTGACGGATATCGGATGTTGATCAGCATGCGCGCGTGCGCACCTGTCCCATAATTATAGACACTCACTACCGAATAACACCATAGTAAGGTATTACGCGTGAAAATCAGCGAATCATCGTTGGAAAATAAAAATAAACCATTGCACACGTATTCTTGCGTGTTTATATTTCTCAAACGGAAAAGGTTAGGCTGGATTTGAATTTTTAAAAGCTAAAATCCTTAGCTGTTTGCGACGGTGCAGATTGCTCGTTCGGTGTACTTAATTTTGGTATGGTGGCCGGGATAGCCCGAGCATGTTTTTCCGCCTGTGTTACAACGCGTGGCCCATGCAGGAGGAGAAGTTCGCTCACAAATATAAAATTACGGAATAATGTAATAAGTTCGCGAAATATGCGTTCTCGCTTGCCACGACAATTCAGAAACTGGCATCGTAATTTCTCAAAAAATAACGACTAAGGATTTACTGGAATTTTGAGGAAAGTATATGGTCGACTCAACTTGTCTTAGACATGCATCGCTACCACTGGGCCGAGTGACGGGGCAGCGTGTGTCCCAGGCATACTATAGCCTCGTTCACACGAGACCTCGTATTTCTGAAATACGGTATTTGCGAAATACCGTATCTGAGACAAATACGCGGCCGAGCGTTCACACGCTGATTCGCGGCTCCAGAAATACGGTATTTGCGAGCTGCGAGCTGCTTTAAACAATCAAGCAAACAATGCGAAATAAACAATGCAATGCGCACCAACTGCCGATAAAATACGTAGACTGGTCCGCGCTCGACAGTTCCACTCGCATTACACTGGAACTGTCGAGCGCGGACCAGTCTATAAAATACGCGGCTTCAGAAATCCGGTATTTAGCGTTCACACGAGGAAATGCGCGGTCCAAGAAATCCGGTATTTCTCAAGCACGGCAAATTATTCGGGGTCTGGGAAGCCTCGTATTTACATGAAATACCGGATCTGTTTAGATACCGTATTTCTTGGGCCTCGTATTTTGCCTCGTGTGAACGCTAAATACCGGATTTCTTGCTACGTGTGAACGCGGCTTATGTAGCGATGCAATTTCATGCGAGTGAAATATAATACCGAAATGTAGGAATGTAGAGGACAAGCGACAGTGGCACACGCGCGGTAGAGAACTTAATTTTGAGAGGCGATGATTATAAAATGGTCTTACTGCACATTGAATAATTGACACCATAAGGCTACGGGTATTGGTAACCTTTGGGAAAACATATGGTGTGATTAGTTTTAGAGGGCCACGGGAGTCACGGTCAGTCACCAGTAGTAGAGAGCACGCATTAGGGTGCGGTCAATATAATTAATCATTGTCACGAGACAGTGGAAGCAACACATCCAACAAGCAACGCATACGAACAAGAGCTCTTGATACGAAGTAACGCTGAGAGGGTCTATGTCCCCCAGGGCACTATCGGAGGGTACCCTGGGTACGGTTCGATATATCGGAACGTACCCTGGTACTATCTAATATGCCGGACCGTACCTCGCCTACTCCACTAACGAGTCTAGGGAGTCGCGCCTACGCCTACTCCCTAACCCTAACCCTGGCTCAAAGATAGAGAGCATGTCCAGTAACAAACATCATCCTATCCTATCCCCGTCCTGGACATCATCTCTATGCTTGAACCCTAACCCTAACCCTAACCCTAACCATATCAGATAGTTACCAGGGTACGTTCCGATATATATCGAACCGTACCCAGGGTACCCTTCGGTAGTACCCTGGGGGACATAGACCCTATGAGCCGAAGTAACCAGTCTACCGAAAAGCCACGCCCGAAATATGTAAGGGAGAAGCCGCAGAGAGGAGAGAAAAAAGGGGAAGGAAGATGTGAAGGGGGTAGAGAGAAGCGATGTAGGCGAGGGGAGAGATGTCGGAAGGAGACGAGAGTGATTAGAGATATGACTGACAATTGTAACTGTGCTGGGCATCGAATAAAACAACATTTTCCTGTGAAGCCTGCTGTTCGCCTCATAAAAGACTGTGTACATTTACCTCGTTACAAAACCTTTACCGAAATGATTAGGGGTAGAGTTAGAGTTGAGCGTCTAACTAATGGAGTTAATACTCCAATCCGAGTTCTAAGCGACAGAATAGACTTTCTGTCTTTCTGACGTTCTTTCTAATTGGCTCTCCTCATAGCGGACAGAGACGGAAGAGCTCCACAGAGCACGCGCGATCGATCTCCTTTTATATTAAGAAACAGTACAGCAGACTGTGTGTAGTTATCGCGTCTTCTACAATAAGATATATAATATAAGAGAGATCGGAAAGTCCAGCTGTGCTATGTAGGTCGCAAAAAAGGGGGTATAAAATGACCGAGGCGCGCTTAGGAAAGTACATGATTAATGTAAACACTCGTGCGTTTTTAGTTTTTGCATTAACTCAAACATTGCAAAATATCCCAAACGACCACAATCATATTTGTAAATGTTTATGAAAACAGCAATGCGCCTGTGAATTGAAGTACGATGTTAGTGAAGAGAATTATAGATAAAAAAACCTAGAATAGTCCCAGGCGCGTAGCCAGGGGGAAGGGCGGTGGGGGCGGTCGCCCCCCCCCAAAACGCCGGCCAAAAAAAGAGAGAGAGAAGAGAAAAAAGTAAGAGGACGTAGGAAGAAAAAGGAGCATACAAAGACACATGGCAAAGACTGTGTTAAAAAGATTATAAAAGAAACAACAGATATCTTTTAATTATTTAAAAATATTTTGTGAAATGAGCTTTGAGCCCAGCGCAGTTCTGCTTTCATCCAGCTCGGCATAACATATCATGCGTACCTACACAATAATATGACTATCGAGCTCTACGGATATTTTGTGTACAGCGGGTCGGGTTCTCTACGTGCTACTTGTGTATTCTTATTTTGTGTCTGACCTGTCACACAGTCCTGCTAGCAATTACGGAAATCTTATGATGAAATGCTGATTGTTTGGTGATTGGTTGATTTAAACGTCAATATATTTATCACATGCATGATGCTATTTTCTGAAGATATCCTAAAAAAAAATCGAAATCTTGTTTAACAATAAATCCAATATTATTTTTGAAAATTTAGGATTAAGAATTGAGAACGGTACAACGAATCGTCTTATTTCTCTAATATAATTTTGAAACGTCAGAGCTTCCGTGAAATGCAGAAATAAGAAATTGCAATTCTTACCTGTGTTTTAATACATGTATTATTACTATAGTAACCTAACTGTGTACGCTCTTTGAAAAGTAATGAAAAGTGTTTTGAATCCTAACCTGTAGGGTTGAGTCTAGGGTTGAGATAGTGTCATCAGACATGAGAATATGGCCCACAGTATGCCTCAGATTGCAGGAAAATGGCTTAAATATTTCAAAATTTTCTGCCTTTTTCATGCCCCCAGACCCCCCTAGCACTGGCATCAGGAGTAAGATAATATAGGATCCTATATTATCTTACTCCTGCTGGCATGCCTACGGCACGTGCCAAACGTACGGTTGTCAAATTTGGCATGTGCGTGCATGTATGTATGCATGTGTAAATGTATGTACGTGTGTTTGTGTGTGTGTGTTTGTGTGTGTGTGTGTGTGTGTGTGTGTGTGTGTGTGTGTGTGTGTGTGTGTGTGTGTGTGT